AAAGAAAGAAAGAAAGAAAGAAAGAAAGAAAGAAAGAAAGAAAGAAAGAAAGAAAGGATTTACTAATGAAACATATTGCATTGTAGCTATCCCAAGCTAGTTTCAAATTATCATTATGGTAGTATATGAATTCAGAATTGTTTAATCCCTGACAGGGATTAAAAGCTGATATGAATATTAATACAATGTTTTAAAATCTGATTTCTGAACATGAACATTTAGCTTAAAACATCATTTTTTAAAGACTTGTAGACTTTACTACTTTTTTATTCTTGAGGAGAGTAAGGGAGAAAGAAATTGTCAATTACCGAGCATTGGGACAAGCTAAATAACATCACCTGTACTTTCAGAAATTAAATCTGATGTTAAACCTCAAATAGTGAGATCAGTATCAAAGTAACATGTCACTCAGTTTCAAATATAACTCTCAAATATTATTTTAGGGGATATAGTCAAACATTCAAAAATATTTACCACCAGGAAACAAAGAAAAACTTTTTGATGATATGAATTTGTTTCTGAACATTCCCATTTTCACAATCTTACTATATTTTAATCACCCAGTGCAAGATGTACATGGTACGCATATAGCCTCTGAATTAACCAATGGAATACACCTAACCTCTGCAACCATCTTGGCTCTGGAATCTAACTCAAAATCCCTGCAGAACATTATGCCTAAAAAGGAAATGTCTTAGGATCCTCCAAAGAATGACTGCATGAGCCTGAACATGAGAGACCTTTGCTCAGTCAAGAACAATGTTCCTTCAGGGATTATCTCCTGGAGACCCCATGGCAAGAATCGGTAGAGTTGAAGCCAGCAGCGGGCAGGGCTATAGGCAGTGGTGTGCTGGAACTGGCTCATGAGGGTCAATTGTTAAATCTTCTGGATCTCATGAGCCAGTTGACAGCAGAAGTGAGCTTCAACCCCTAGCAGACCAATCAGTTGCTAGCAACACAGCGTGGTGGCAGCAACGGGGCCAGCAGAGTCAATTCTTAAACATTTAGCAGCACAACTCTGATTATAGACAAAAAAGTCCACCCCACGGTTTTCACTCTTTTTATCACCCCATTTGCCTCTTTCCCTTTTAAAAACCTCAAAGGCCAGCAAAGGGGTCTTAAATTGGGGGGGGGGCTATAGAGATGTAAGAGCCATAGCTGCCCTAGAAGATTCCTACCCCTTGCCTGCCTCCTCAAACAAATTACCCAATCACCTGGAAAGGAACAAGCATTGTTCCAAAGTTATCAAGGCTATGATAAATTGAAAAAGGAAATGAGAAGGGTGTGAACCATAGAGGTACCATACTTACTCGCTGGCAAGGCGACACTGAAGGCTTTCGACTGAGGGCCTTGGCCTCTCCTGTTTGCGGCACGAATTTTGAAAACATAGCGCTCCCCAGGCTGCAGACCCTCCACTGTAGCAGATGTAGTGCCTCCCGGGTAAGAAATGGACTTTGCACCGAAGGGTTTGAGTGCCGGGGCGTATGAGAGAATGTATTCTGAAACAATTTGGCAGACGGTTGGAAGGAGGAAACTGAAAACAATCCTGTTTCCAGCGGACAGACTGTATGGGTAGGATGAATTAGAACGTGCATTACTAAAATTAATACATCGGCAATGCACGTCAAGTCAACAGCTGGGGTATAAAAGATACTGTGTATATATACTGTGTATTAAAATAAATATTTATTTATATATATATAAATAAATAAAGATGAACACATTCATTTGTCCAGTGCATTAGAATTGATACTACCACCACTACCTTACGCATGAAAAGATATTGCATATATGGAAAGAGAATGAAACTAATTAAAAACAAAACAAAGACAACACCCTTGTGTTGACCAAAGATGCACCAGGATGACGATACTGGTGATGACATCTAGGATGCTTCTAAGGCTTGATATGTGTTGCCTCATTAGAAAGTTGTTCTTCCCTTTGCATTCTCTATTGCACAAGAGCCTGGCATGGCATTGCTAATGGTTTTGTGAAATAAACGATGCAAAGTGGACTCATTTTTCACAGATCTATAATACAATATGACTGAATGACTTTTCAAGTCTATTAAAACAATTTGCATTTGGAACACTAGAAAGGAGAAACTGTAAGGGAGTTCAGTTTTCATTAAAAGTTTTTTATTCATCATGCAGAATCTTTTCCTTCTGTGAAAAAGTATTCATACATGTAATCTTTCCCCATAGCCTGTAGCTTTATGGTACAGAATCAGTACAAAGAAAACCTTAGGGCAGTGTTGTCCAAACGTGGCCACTTTAAGATGAGTGGACTTCAACTCCCAGAATTCCCCAGCCAGCATGTTCCCAAATGCCCTTGTTTATCCAATTTCTGCCATGTAGAAGTAGCTTGTTAGCTTGTAACTCCCTATCATATATTCTTTGGGTGAGCTATTGCTTAGCTTGGTCATATCCTAGAGCAGTG